CATGAAGCATCGTGGCTTTGTCCTCCAGAGATCTTCCGTCTTAACGATGTTTCTGTGTCTGAACTCAAACCTGTGTGCGTTCCGGGGATCCGGATCCTCCCGTGTGTTCCTGCTCTCTCCGTAATGACTCTGTGGCGCCGTTAATGCTGCGACCTCTGATCGGGACCTGGCGCTGTCGGCGGCGGCCCTGCCAAAGAACAAGCTCCTCATTAAAACCCAGACCTGCGAATCATTACGTTCGCAAGGACGTCCAACGCGTTGTTAGCTGAAGGCTATTGTTACTTCTGAAGATACTCTGAAAGCATCTTGATGCGCGTACATGACATTTGTTTGATTTCATCTGTTTGATTTCATCTGTTTGATTTCATCTGTTTGACTTCATGAATTTAGGAGCCAAACGAAATGACATGCATCCAACTACGAGGAATAATAAGCATCCTGGTTGACTAATATTGATCTGTATTTACAGTGGGGGAAATAAGTATTTGACCCCTTGCTGATTTTGCAGGTTTTCCCACTTACAAAGAATGCAACGATCTACTATTTTAATCATATGTACATTCTAACAGTGAAAGACAGAATCCCAAAGAAAATTCCAGAAAATCACATCATATGAATTTATGAAAATTGATAACCATCTGATGAGGAAAAATAAGCATTCTTTGTAAGTGGGCAAACCTGCAAAATCAGCAAGGGGTCAAATACTTATTTCCCCCACTGTAAATTCTGAAGTTAATCACCACATCTTTTCTCAACTGAGCGATATTCCCTCAAAGATAGAAGAAAACTGAGCAAACCGAACTCTGAGACGGCTTTGAGACGGGTAATGAGCCCAATATGAAAGTCTGATATGATCTTTATTTTCGACCATCATACAAAAACATGTCATGCAGTAAATGTGTGGCTTTCTGGAATGAACAATGGCAAAATAGGGGGGTGGCTTAACTGGTTTTTATAATCTGCCCTTGAGGAGATTGGAGTTGAGAAAATGACCCTAAAGTCGTTTTTGATGCTCCACTCAGAAATCGCTATCTCTCTGAATCCTGCAGCACTTGTGCTGGAGGAGATTATTGTTCCAGTCCAATCTACCCAGATTATGTGCTGTGTATCAGATCAGATGATGCGGGGTCAGATTAGATATTTGGAACTCGGGGCGGCCGCACACAAACCCCAGAGTCTGCGTGACTATCTTTGCTAACGCACACTCCGGGAGACACACACTTATCGCACGCATCTGGGTCTTTGAATCTCACAAAATGGATGTTTGTGACACACAAGCTTATCACCTGTGCCAAAGACACAATAAGGGCAAACTAGTCATTACCTGAAAGATTAGAATGCTCAGATGCAAACGTATCCTCTGTCTTCGAAATCCACTTCTTGCTCAGCTCAGTTTCATCATGTCGCCATGGGGCCATTTTTAGCACTAGAGAAATTAAAGTACATGTCCAGGGGAAGTTAATGCCTTTGAAATGCATCTGTTCATAAAAAATAAATAGTTTTTGCCATGAAACAGAAACCTTTTGGACGTTAAAAAGGTTAAGTTTGGACTTGGGCTCCACATCTTTGTTACTTATGGTGAAAATGGCTGTGTGACTCTTCCCACTCTTCCCACTCTTCCCACTCTTCCCACTCTTCCCAGCCCACCGACTGATGACAGTGGCCCATTTTCCTTCAGTTCAGGAAAAAAAAAAGACTGCTGCAACACAGGGAAACTCAGCAGCACCTGCTTGAAGCTGAAGGATTTTTAAAAAAAGAGCTGTTTATAAAAACAACATATGCAAGTGGAGATATTTGAATGCTATTTTCCGTCACTTTTCAATTCTTTGTCTCGATATTGAGTGCTAACTTTGGTCCTCTCATGGACACGGTGACCAAGGGGTGAGTCTCTTGGGCAGTGAGGATCCACTGTACTGTACTCTGGTGCTGCCTGAACATGTTTGTGGCCCTGAGGCACTTGCATACTGTGCGGAAAATCTCTGTTTGATTTGCAGGGTCATGGCAAATGGGGACAGAGAGTTCCCATTTGGAGTGTGTGGGACTAAATAGAAAAAATGATAATAATTGCAGGCCGAATTGCATAGATCCAGTGTAGCCTGGAAATATGATGAAAATGATGTCTTTGTACAGAAATTAGTTGGAGAAACCCAATCACCTACTTGACTAAAAAAACATCTCACAGGAAATTGAAAACCACAGACCTGTTTCTGTTTTTCTGTTTTTGATTAAACAAATAAACTATATCTGTGCCTGTTCTATTCCCATAAACATGAATTAAGACATTGAGACATGAATTTCATAGTTTTAATACATGCTGCTAAACCCCAAAGATGAATTTTAGAGGTCTAGTCACATAAAAAAACCCATTCCATTCTCCTCATAGCCCGTGCAAACTTTTCATTGTAGCTTAAAATCTGCTCATTTTGTCTGCTCCTTTTGGCATAGTTCCTTCTAAATCAGTCAAATGTGGAACATAGGGGTCTTTTTTAAGATGGATGGAGACTACTATCAAGTCAAAAACTTAATGGAACTTTTGGTGGTAGTGGTAAAGCCTTTCATGACTCATTTGTTACATTTTAGAGACGCTAAAAACTTGTGTTGACTGGAGCACTGACACTGCCCATGGACACATACCTCTCAAATGGGGTAAGCAACACTTTTCAACAGTCTCGTTAATGTGGGGAACTCGATAGAAATGATTTTGGAAAGCATTCAAGGCGATTCTTATCTGACACAGTGGCCCGCTAATGATGGAGATATTGCTGAATCCATAGCAGTGTTTGGACTCCTTATGAAGACGAGAAAAACACAGTAGTGTTTTTCCCACTGGACTGGGGCCTAACATTATTAAGCCTTTTGTAGAAAATTGAGTTGTTAAGAGGAAATCATGGCACAGAAGTGTCACCATGCTGGATCTTGGTTTAAATAAAGAGGAGCCCTTTGAAGCACTTGACAGGATGCATTGAAATGGAAAAAGAATAACCGACATTAATACACATAAATGTGAAAAAAATCCCAGTGTAAAAACATACATTATATCTGATCATGAATTAAATACTGGGGTTTGGTATAGTGGTAAGTGTACACATGCTGATATTCTACTTTGTATGTCGATTTGGATAAAAGTGTATGTATAAACATAAGTACATGAAAATTCCTTTATTTAAATATTGTTTAATCTAATTTTTCTTTCAATTTTTCTACATAATCATAATACGCCTTGTGTAAATTGTTATTAAATTCAGAGGTTTAGACTGGCTGATAAAGATTAACTAAACCTCTGAACACCTTTTTTTTTTCTCCAGAAAAGAAGGGGATGGGGCTGATTTGGGTAAATGTAGGCCATTCGTTCAGAATTCTTCTTTTTCCTGATTTTGTTCCAATTTTTTAATCGCTCACAATTTATTTTGGTAAAGATTTGTGATCATAATTCATTTGGACCACAAAAAGCATCTTTTTAATTTACCAGTTAGACGACTACTTCTTCATGCTGAAGAAATGTATTCATATTCTTATCTTTTCCCCCCATGTGCGCTTCACAGTCTAGACACCTACAGCTTGAGGTATAATATTTATGAGGACAATTAGCAAATTATGCTTAGTGCTGCATCAGCATTACACCCTGGCCTGCCATAATGTGCTATAAGGTGTGATAACTTTATTTATATGGCTTAATTAGCAGCCTATCTCTGAGGAATCTCCTTGTAAATCCAGGTTGAAACATATTGAAATGAATTGGATCATTAAATCTAGTGTAGCCAATTGGCTGCATAAGATGCACATATGTATCCATATGTATATATATATGGATATACATTATTTCTAAATCAATTATAACTGGCCATTTAGTGGTTTGGTCCCAAAAACATAATACAGACTCAAAATCCTTGCAGGTTTTTGCACCTTAAGACACAGAACTGGCGTGCTTGATTGATGGCTTTATTTATAGCTCGCTCCAATTCAAAGCAACCTGTATCAATTTGCATGTTCATTATGTGCCTAAAATGGCCAATTATTCCATCAAAGGCGTGTTCAGAGGCCTGAACCGCAGAGCCTAAACAATCATGTGACAAATTAGCCAATTAAGCATGTTTGATGCATTTGCTCCGTGTGCCTCTTATTCACTCAGAAAGGGCCGGACTAATTTAGCTAATGTCCATAATGCATTTTATAACGTAAGGTGTATTTTACCACCACAGAAATATAAACAGTCGTGTGTAGTTTTGTTAGGCTGAAGGGAGACTGTTCTGGGCCATTGTGGTTTGAAGAGTTGCAGCTTGTGTCAGCATTCCTTTTTAACAAGAGAGCTTAAACTTTATCCGATTTGATTTCAGCTTCTATAGAGCACTGTTATTTTTTTCCATCCTGACATTCGATCAAGTTTATATAACCCTTTTAAAATTCCGTAGATTGGGGATCAAACCACGTTTGCAGTCTGGACAAGATCCATTAAAGTATTACCTAAAAGCCTTTTCTATTGTCTAAGCCATTATCCCGAAAAGTTTTCATTTCATTGCTCGTTGCATTTAATTCCTCTCTCGTTTCCACCTACTTCTCCATCCAGAATATGACTATCTTTTTTTAAGCGAACAACAGCTGCCAACACTGCTTTGAGCAATGCGGTGTGATTAAGTCGTACATAAGTCATACATAGAGAAAAAGAGTGTGGGGGGGAGAGGGTGGACAGTATTGTGGGTGTTTTCTAATATCAATGCATGGACTTCATCCTGTGTTTATTGCTGCTTATTGGACCAACTGATGTGCCAAATGCTGAATTTTCTGATGATGGACAGCTATTAACTGTGCACAGAGTTTATTCAGAGAGAATAAAAGGAGAATAGAGATGCATTGCTGGGTAACTCAAGTTCAATGGCAATTTTTTTTATATATTCTTATCGTTAGCATCCACAAGCGTTACTGAAAAAGTGGATTTGTGATACATTTTTAATGGTACTATTGGCTGCC